AACTTCTAAGGCAGGATTCGGGTACCGCAAAAAGTTATTCTCCAGTAAAGATCTACCTGCTCTTCCTCTTGCGGTGTAAAATCACACTTGATATTGAATGTTTTTCTTATCTCGTCTGGAGTTTTTCCCTTGATCATATTGGCTACTGTTTTGCAACAGACATCCAGCAGTCCTTTAATGTCCAAGTAATTAGCTGCAAGCATGAGTTCGAATAGCGTTCCCTGATCAACGCGTAGAAACTCCTGATCCCAGCTGGGAATATCGTCCGTGCGTCTTTCCTTGTTCTCGTCATCTTCCTGTGGAGGTGGATCATCCCGATGGTAAGTGCACCACTGGAGGACTTTTCGAAGAATTCCCGCGTTCACACGAGGCAAGGGAACAGGTTCCTCCTCTCCTTGCTCTTCCATTCCGAGATCTAAAAAGGAGGGTAGAAAAGTTAAACTTACATGATTAGTACCTTACACTACATACTGACATTTAAGCATTAATTTCGCTCCGTTTGTGAACTCATTTCTTAAAGTTAACAATTATCTTCCCTCATGAATTCACTAATTAAAACACCAGCTGAGACTGGGCGAGCAGAGAATGTCAATAAATAACCAGTTTGCGTGTATTGTGGAGGATAAAATCTCTCGGAAGCCCGACTGGGACATGGCCCAGGAGAGAGACCCTGACGAAGACAACCTACAAATACAAGCAAAGCTATTCCCTATTGGGCTGCACGCGGACAAACAGCAATTCTCCTTTGATTTGGGAAGCTAAACATTTCCCTTTGGTTAACCCGAGTCAACTAGTTGACCTCACCATACCCGTCCTTGACCGAGGTGGCAATCTTGCCCAAACCTGTGACCTCATTTTCACTTCGGCCTCTTCTTTCTTCTCGGATGTGTACCTTTTCCTTTTGGCTTATCAAATCACTGTACCGTTTCTTGCTCTATTAGACTTGCGAGCCTCGATTCGCCACTCACCTCGAGACACATTCTAACGCTACAACTCAGCCAACTCGGAAGGTTTCCGAGATTTATTAGCCCCTTATCCCTGGAGCGGCGGTTGTTTCTCTTGGGATGTTTCCAGATCGGTTTCCAACTTTAACGACATTTGTTCCTCAAGGTATGCATCTTCATATTCCGCACTTCCACAAACCCGACGAACCCAAAAAACCCAGTAGTTTAACCATGCACGCGATCAAGCTGTACGCTTAAAACGCTCAGTCTTCCGCCACTAGCCCGATTCCAATTCTCACCACCGTTTCGGGAAGCTAGGAACAGATGCTCGACAACCATCCAGAAAACCAAAGAATGCTGTAAAGCCGAAGAATTGGTTCCGTCCACCACCGGTAGTCGGAAATTTAGGTCCCTTGCCAAAGCAATTTTGTGTTATTTTTCACTTGAACTTCTCCCCCCCCCCAGCTGTAATTCCTAGGGTGGTTTTGTATGTCAAACACACGAGAATGCTGAGGATTTCGCTTTTCAGTTAGCCGCGAACTCAGCCTTACTCAATTATCCTACTCCCCCACCAACTTCCTATTTTACTGGCAACCCCTTCGTGCCTCTTATTAGCACCAAGAAAATCCGCCAAACATTTCACTCCCTTAACACAAACAAACCACCCGGTCTGGATTGTATTCCACTCACTGTACTTGAAATGTGTCCCGGAAATGACTCATATTTTACATCGTCTTTTCAGTATTTCTCTCCAACTTTCAACTTTCTTAACCCCTTGGAACCACACCGTGATTTCTCCCATTCCTTAAAACGGCAACCTTTCTGACAACAACTATCAGCAATCTATTTTCCTCACATTTTCTCCTTCGAAAGTATTTGAAACTATCATTTCCGACTCGACCGTGAAGGAAAAATGAGCGACCACCAATATGGTTACTGACAGTGTCGCACTACTCACGATGCCCAAATCAGCATCGATTGTGACCGTAATGCAGTTAATGTGTCATTGGACTCCGATCATGAACACATCTCCTCCAGATGCAATGTCAAACACGTTTCACCTAATGCTTCTAACACCTCTCTTTCAATTTCTCTAAAATACCATCCATTCTCCTTCTCCCCACTTATTTTTTGATTCCATCTAACTGCGTTTGACAAACTGTTTTGCTTCTTGGAGCGCCTATAACTTCTTTATGCTGGTCCCCTTTTACAGCTCTGCTTGCTTTTCCTGCTGTGCGTAAGGTTGGCTTTTTATTTCGCACCAGAAGCTTGTCTACCCCCAGCTCATCTTTCACTGTGCAAAGCTCAAATCTACCCTGCTTTTGAATACTGCAATCACGTGTATGGTGGTGCTTCTATTCTATTTCTCTTCTTGACCGTGTTCGGTCATCCGGCTGATCGATGATCTTTTTTGCCTACGGGGATCTCCCCTTTGACTGTAATTCACACTGCGTAATAGAATAAAAAAGAAACGGCATGCAATGGAAACAAATCCAATCAGTAAAAACCAACTTATTTCTTTTGTTGCCTAATACTCAACCTTGGATGGTTTTGTAAGATGTATACACATCACACTGAGATTACACTTTGACGTGGTGTGGTAGCTTGTGCACCTCTGTGACCCAACGAGTTACACAGGATGGCTTTGTTGAGCCAAAGATCTGATCGTGCCTGGTAGGTCAATGGGTAGGGGGCAGACAAAACCCAGTCTCCTGGTCCTCCAGGTTGGGGATTCAACTTGAGCTGGTGTCTCAGTCGGTAAAACGCGTTGGAGGAGTAATTGATTTACATTAATAGGCTTCGAATCCGCCTTAACCACAGCCTTGCAGTTAGATTCTTGTCAGAACTATAGGTTTTGGTTGAGAACCTTTCGTTTTCCTGCTTAGTGGTTGTATTCTATGGCAGTATCCCTCCATAAAGTTCTAATGAACACAAAAACAAAAAATAATTTCATACTGCATTGGTCGTCGCGCAAGATAATCAGGATCGCACTACCCATTGCATCGAGCGGGGTGGGTAGTGATAAGTGGGCTACTGCTCAGATATCTCAAGCTTCGTTTC